GGTCAAACAGGTTTTGCATGTTTTTGAAATGCCACAAAAACCTGAAAAACTTGTTGACATGATCGTAGGATGAGAGTACAATCATGGGCACTGGGATTTAAAGGCTTTTTCATATAACTTCCCACATCCCGAAAAACTCAACTGTTAAGTTCCTTCGGCCTTCAATAACCTGAATCGTGGAGAAGAATAAATGAATGATTTTGTGTGACCTCCTCTGACCAGTCCTTTCCCCTAACTTTATTTTGCTCAGTACCTTTTTATCTGATCTTCAGAGAAGAAAGTGATGCACGATTAACAGCACAATCCTGTGCAAACATATTCCTATCTAAGCCCACTGAATTCAGGCTTGAACAGCTCTGCACAGGATTGTACTGTCAACCAGGACAAGAACTTTGCGGTTCTGTGGCTAGATTGCTGAGAGTGGCAGGAGTGGCGCAGTATGTTGGACACAGGAAGCCCTAGTTAGGCACAAGGCTTAGCAGGTAATCTTAGGGCAGTCAGGATTTCTTACATTAATACATTTCACAAGACAATAAATCACACAGGAGTTATAAAGCACTTTTAACAACGGTAAGTGCTAGAGAAAGCACTGGCAGTATCATTGAAATACTGGTTTAAGGCTAATTTTCTAGTAAGAAGTATGTTTTAGAGAATGTTCTAGGAAACATTTGTTCAGTTTTTTCTCCCAAACAAGATAATGACTGGGGTGTTCTGTGTCAATCACAAAAGCTATAGAAAATCCATACTTAAAAACTGCTGTACAGAAAAGCGTGGGTGCAATCAGGCTGAGCCTTAAGTCTAGTTTCCAGTTTTATGCAGGTTCAACTTAGGCCCACAAAAACGAGGTGTGATCCCATATGATATTTTTATGGTCACATTTGCTGCTGTGCTATGCTTCAGACAATCATGTACAAACACTTAAATTTACACTGGCAATTAAACAGCCCATAAAAACAAAACAAAACGATAAAATGGTAAATGCAAAATACACCAGACTTACACTGTATGAAAACAAATGGCTATCACACATTGTAAAATTGATTTCCAATACATTTACAAATAAGTGCATAGGCTCGTAGCCTCAATAAAACCAGACCAACATTGCTCTAAAAGCTATAATTTGTTCCTCTTTAATGAGGAACGTGGCTGCAATTCTATCATGCAAGAGTTATACCAGTGACCTTTTAAATGACTGTCTGCACTCTGGATTCTTCTTTCCGAAATGTACAGGGGTATTTTGGGAAGTAACAGGAAACTATCCGTCCAGTCTGTTCATGATGAAATCTTCTACTGCTTTCCAAAACACATATGGCCTTTGACAATTCGCATTTTACATAATATATCCTGGTTTTGTCTTACTTTTCTTTGCGAGATGATTGCTAATCTAAAATTACCCAACTAACATGGTCAATGCCCAATTACCCACCCTGACCTTTCAAATGATTTTACACCTATGTGGGGCCTCAAGTGCCACCAGATGTGCACTGTGCTTGTTTCTGCCTGATTCCCCCCAAAAAACTCTCAGGATGTGGAGAGGAGTAGGCTTAATGCACACCATATTCATCTTCCTTGCGTCTGGCCTCTGGTCATATGACCAACTGGATCTGATGGCCAATTCTCCTCAGCTATTCTCTGCCTATCTTCAAATAATGTGAGAAGTGCCATGGATGTTGAACAATGTCTCTCCACTACTGTGGGTCATTCGGGGCTTCAGGGGGAGGCCCATTGCATCACACTGGCAGGACAGTTATAGAACTGCTCCAACTCTGTATTACACACCAAAGGGGCTCCCCTAGATGCTCCTCCACCCAACCAAAGAGGATCAGCAACAGCTAATTTCATTTCTGCAACCTTGAATCAGTGGTTTTGCACCCACATTGCTGGGCAGAGCGAGAACAGCTGGGCTATTGGTAGCTAACTGTGGGACAAGGGTAGGCCCATATATTCCATCTCTCCCTATACATAATTCTGTTTTAAAGTGGCAACATTTCATGCCCTCCCTCAGCCATTGGCCCATCAGCCACCGCTCAAGAGTACTCGTGTGTCATTGGCTGAGGCCGGGTCTTCTCCTCTTCCCCGCCCACTCCCCCTTCAGCCGCTGTACCCTGTCATAATTACTGGGAAATGGCTTTCTCTCTTGACGAAGATGCTTTTCCTGCTTGCCTTCTGTGTGGGACTAACTTTCCCCTCAGTGGCTGTTGGTAGGTGTCATGAAATGGCAGTTACCTGTGTTTGTAAGATGGCTGTGGTTCTTTGTTTAAAATGTTCCCCCATAAAATTTAATTGAGCCGTAGTTCCAGAGAGGGGCTTGCAGGGGTATCACTCTTTGGGTTGAATGGGGCTTCCTCATCTGCTGGCCTACAGTTCCCAGCTGCCCCAAGGCCAAAAAGTGCAGGAAAACAGGGACTGTCTCAAGGCAGCCTTTGTCCCTGGGAGGCAGCAAAAATTCAGCCACTCCACAGTCGGCTGGACTGGGGAATGAATGGA